TCTGTGATTCTGTGATTCTGTGAATATAATGGATAATCTTTTCATTGCTAAAATTCAGGCTTGCTTCAAATTCACTAGAAACAAACCAGCTAGTTTATTTGGTTATACATTACATTGTTCAAAGTTAATTACCTTTTTTTTTATTCTTAGAAATGGATGATGAGGACTGTGAAAGAAGAAGAATGGAGTGTTTAGATGAAATGTCCAATCTTGAAAAGCAATTTACAGACCTTAAAGATCAGTAAGTATTTTAATATTTTAAGTACCTCATCTGAGGACCCATTCTATGAGAATATTGTGTGCAGCTGGTGTTTCTTGTCTTTCCTATATGTGGATGCTAGTTTTGGAGAAGAATAAGGATGGAGAGTTCTGAAATTATTTGCAGGTGGTTGCTCCAGAATACTTTCATTTATTTATTTATTTTCTGGTTTTGAAGCATTGTTGCTGTGAAGGGCTGGTGTGGGTCTATTGCATCAAAATTCTTAGCAGAACCAAGGAATTGTGATTCTAGGGAAATCTGTGGGTTTGTTTGTTTATTTATTTACTCATGTTTCATCTCATCCTTTTATGTGGGACAGACCCAAGCACTAGGGGGTGGGAGCAGATATGTGAACACAAAAGCAAATGAACATTTCTATCCACAAAATGTGTCTTTCTCTCCCGTTATGTAAGCCATGTTGTTCTTATCTATTATAGCATCCTTTCCTGTCTTCTTCCATGCTAATTCACCTTCTTCTCCATCTTAATACTGTTAACAGCCATGCAATTTTTTCCCCGTCTTCCTTAGACATGGAGATAAATTTAATTTTATCTTTACTTTCTACACTTCTGATTATCTGCATATGTTTCCCAGAAAGGCTTAATAGACATGAGAAATACTGTTCAAAAGGAAAATATGTATTGGAAAATTCAAATAGTAACAAATGTTTACTTTGCTTCAGTGGGTGTTCCATAGCATTAACAAAGAGATGCAGAATAGTTCTTTTAAAAATATTTCTTCTAACTTATGTTTGCTTTTAAGTAAAATACATATTTTTTTATTTCTATTATTTTAAGACTTTACAAAGAAAGATTAAGCCAAGTGGATGCAAAACTACAAGAGGTCATAGCCGGAAAAGCACCTGAGTATTTAGAACCATTGGCAGCTTTACAAGAAAATATGCAAATCCGAACCAAGGTGGCAGGTAGGCATGAAAAATGAGTATTGCTCTTTCAACAGTATAAACGTGCTATGCATTTTATGGTCAATCTTTCTCTTTTTCTTTAGAATTATTAAAGAAGTGTGTTTTAAAGTTAGAGATACTGTGACATGGTTTTAAATGTAAAATATTTCTCATGTCAAAATTAATGGGTTGCTAACCTTTGTGTAAGTCCTTGCCTATAGCATCACACTGAAATATGACTTTTTTGTTTTATTTAATGACTGTCTTTGTGTAGTAAGCACAAAATTACTGAATTAAAAATAAATAATTTTTATTAGTCAGAAGATCTGGGATCAAGTCTGCACACTGGTCACTTGAAATGAAGAGATATGTAGGTGCTGTCACAAAGTGCCTGTCAGATCATCTTTTTCCTGCTTTTTTGCTCTGTGTCTCTTCTACTTCTCTGCTCCCATCCTCCTGTTATATCTGGGGAAGGAGGAAAACTCTTGTCCTTAGCAGCTTTTATTTAAGATGCATTTTAATTATTAAAACTAATGCTTAGATAGGCTTTTATGCTCATAGAAGAACCAGACAAGAACTTTTTATCTTCTTCTGGGATACATCCATATGGTGACATGGAATGGTGATACAGGAAGGCAAAGTTCTGTACTTCCCTTTTGAAAATTCTTTTAATGTTATAACTTGACTCCTTTAGGAGTAATTTGGCTGCCTAACGGTTACTTAACACAAGGCTGTCAGAGAGCTAAAAGGCAGACAGTTGTGATCTCTCTACCCAGAGAAGCTATGCCAATGTCTTCTCTAAGAAATTCAGCAGAAGTTCCAGCAAACTGGAAAATGGCAAACCTGATTATACCTTTTGTAATACTAGTGCTACTTCAGTGCTACTCAGTATGTCTCCATTGGTACTTTTGACTTCAGGCTATGAGGAGAATTTGAAATCTTTTGGTCTGTTGCATTTCTCTCCCTCCTGGTCTTCTCCATAATGCTTTTCTTCAGCTGATGACACAGAATTTCTGAGTTTTAAGATCTTAGCCCAAATTTATTTGACTAGTCCTAAGTAGCTGACTTGGGCTTCACATAAGGTTCACAGGTGAACTTGCAGAAGATTTGATAGAAAAGCAACCTTAATCCAGGCTTTTCATTTTCAGTTTTAAATGTGGCAGTGTGTCAGTGCTTTCATGTATGTGGATGTGGATAGGCAGAATATTGCAGATTCTCCTGATACATCTTCAGCAGCACTCAAAATCCATGTTCCCATGTAAAAAGAGCGCAGGGTGAAAACTACAAGTTTCCTTGAAGTTGAGACTAGTAATCAGGATTTTGGGATTTGTTTTTTTTTGTCCCTTTTGTCCTGCACTGAATGAAGTTGATAAAAGTATTCCAGAGAAAAGAAGAAAGTGCAGAACAGACTTAATTCGTCTTACTGTTTGAAAGCCTTGACAGAAGTGGGTAGTAGCAAGACTTGAGCTCCAGCAGGTAGCCCCTAAGGATGTACTTCTACCTGAGACAGGGGAGGAAGGGGTGAAAGACTCCTAAAACTATGGATATGATTGCATTTGTGGTAGTAAAGAAACTTGTGTTCCTCTGCTTTCTAAGGCTCTGAGCACTATTCACACAAAATGTGGATCTTGACTATTTCAGCAAGTCAGGAATACAACTGTTTCTTCTAGAAGTATTCATACCTATACTGCTTGATTTCAGGCAAATAAGTAGTGATTATAAATTGGTAGACCTAGATATGCCAGTCAGCCATAAATATTTAATAAAAAAGGCAGTATAACATACTGATGTAAGAAAAGAATATTTTGAATTCTAGATCAAAAGTGACTTCACAGAGGAAAGATGATTGACATAATACTTCACAGTTTGTTTTTCTGAGGAATTGCTGGTAATGGTATTGTTCCTCTCGTACTGTATTAATTTACACTCAACTGAATTCCAAGGAAGGTTTTTCTGGGGAGTTCTGCAGTTGCTGAACAGCACCAGTGTGTGTGCAAACTTCTAGGTAGTGATGTGCAACAACTTAAGTATTTTGTGTTGAATGCACTGAATATATTAAAACAAGTTCTAGCTGTAGTTGCTAAATAGTACATTTCAGATAATAGCTGAAAAAATCTGAAAGGTTAGTAGACACATTTTCAGCAATGTGTAAGAAATGCTTCTAATACTCAGAAGCAGATCCTTTGTAAATAGATCTAGTATGTAAAGTTAGCATGACTGCTGGTATAATTCATTGACTGGTAGGGGAAAAAGTGAAAATAGTATTTATTTTTCCTCAGATCTTCAGAATTAAGGGATTACTTGTTCTTATTTTCACTCTGTAAAGCTGCCAGCCACTGTAAGTGCCTAATACAATATAATCTGTATTTTCCAGTATGTAAATGTTTTGGGACTTACAGACAGTATTAAAAGAGAATTCTGAAATCAGGTATTACCTAAAGAAAGTAATATTGCTATAATTTGTCTGATTACAGGTATCTATAGAGAACTTTGTCTGGAATCTGTGAAGAACAAGTATGAATGTGAAATTCAAGCCTCTCGACAGCACTGTGAGGTTGTGCTGGCTATTTTGCATCAATAACTAATCTCATCTATCTTTACTGTGTGTCACACTTTCCAAGTTTCAGTGCATGTTTTTATTATTGCTGTTATTTGCTATTTTAATGCAATTTTATTGTGATATTTATGTCCACGTAAGAGGTTGTTCAAAGCGTGTAAAAATCAGCCTTAGATTAATTTGGCTTTCCATATAACTAAGGTTTCTTGGTTTTCATTAACAGGTTGTTATTAATAGATTCCTACTTTTTTTTTACCTTTGTTATAAAAAGATTACCAAGAACAGTGACTAAAATATATGCGATAATTTTAGCAAAAACCACATTACATTTTAATAACAACATTAATAATAATGTCTTTTTAAGGTGCCTTAGACAGCTAGTGATAGAGTTGTCATTTCAAAAGCAGAAAAATATATTTCTCTCCTTGAACATAACCACACCTGTTTAAGCATCTAAATAATGGATCCCATAGTACAGATACTCAAGTACATGAATGTCCAATGCTGTAACATAGCTGCTTAGATCCTGAGGTTTACATCATAGTCTTCCTCAGTCACCTGCTACAGTTGCTTAAATGTGTTTTATTCTGAGTGGTTCACTGTGTTCCTGAACTGCATAGCTCCTACAATAAAGCAAGAATGTGCACACATACTTGAAAAAAAAATTTTCTATATTCTTGGTGCCTTGGGAAAGAACAAGGTATAATTGAGGACTGAGACATTACTGACTGTCTTCACCTCCTGTGAGTACTTCTGAGGTTGGACAGAATCCTGTAACACTTGCAGGGTTTCTCATCTGTGATTGATTTGCTTTGGCTATCTATTATTACTCTTTAAGGTAGTCCTTGTCCCCTGTTTTGCTCTTATGTTTCTGTTGTCAGACCTTCAGAATTCAAATATTCACCATCCAGTAAGGATCTCTTGAGGGTAAAGCTCTTTAAAGTCAGCAGTGCTGCTTGTAGAATCATTGTGCCACTGGAATATAACCATTAAGCAAGAATGCCTCTGATGCCTGTGACAGCATTTCACACTTCATTTGTCAGCATTTGCAGCAAAACAGGTGTCTAAACACAAACAGTATTTAATTTTAAAATGAGATTTTAAAATGGTTTCAGAACAGGTAACATTCATTTGGCATTCCAGGTATATGTAAGAGGCTTCCACCTTTTCAGTTGCATTGGAAGTATTTATTTTTTTTTATAATGAGGGATTAAAAAAATATATGAAAGGAGGTCTTTGGAATTTAAATAATTTGAAACTTGAAGGGAATGATAAATATGGCAGCCGTTTAGTAGGACAGGGTTCTGTATTCCTCAACTGTTTTGCTTCACTCTGGCATACTAGCTTGAACATTGGTAAGGGTAAGTTTTGGTGAGTATGCTGTGCTATGGGCAGGAGCAGTTGAGCTGCAGACAGCTGCTGACTTAGCACTTGGGACTGCAGCTTCTGGCAGAGATATGGTAGCAAATAGCTAGACGCAGTGTCTTGTGCAGCTTAAGCTGTTTTTTCAGCAAGTCCAAGGCTGCTGTTTTCCAGAGTTGTTGAAGATGTTGCTCAGTGAAAGAGAACTTTAAAATGTAACAGTCACCTGTATTTCCTACTTGTGTTTTAGGAAATGTGCAAGCTTATGATAGAACAGTAAATTTATTTCCTTGAGGCTTGGAACTCAGCTTAATTCCAAGTCACTGGTTTAGAGAGTTTAGCAGTTTTTTGATGCTACGTTTAAAAGGGTAACTAATCTATATAGATACGGTGGAATTTTGATAGCAATCCTATGTGGTGGACTTATAATTGAGAGAAGTTTTCTACAAATTTGATTTTCTTGTTCTGGAACACTGCACAAAACCTTGCAGAAAGTTCACATTGGAGTGTGTTTTTGTTTATTTATAAAAAGTGCTAATGATGTACCTGACATTGAACACATTATGTTAATCCATTTGGATCAGAAATTGCCTTTTAAATGGACAAACTAGGTAACTTCTCTAAAGCAGTCCTTTAAAAGTGTTTCTCACAGCTTTAAGGTAGACAGTTTTGCTTTCACAACTATCTAGATTATTTTGTGTGCTCCATAAATTGTTTCTTCTGTGGGAAGGTATTTTTCAGATCTGTGAAAACAGACAATTATAAATACTGTGGTAATAGATAGTAATTCTCTATAAATGACTGCAGCTTTGTTGAAGGCAGCTTAATAAAAAGCTTTCCATGAAAACATTATCTTTTCTGATCTGTAATGAAAGATAGCACAGAGGTCACTACCTTACAGTTATTAATGAATAAATCTTTGCTATCCAAAAGGAAAATACTGTATTTGTTTGAAAATACAAATAATTATTCTGGAAATCTAGCTGCGTGCTTTTATACACTTAGTTATTCTTGGTACTGATATCTGATAACCATATTTATACTTATACCAAGTGAGTGTGCTGTCTTTAAGGAGCTAAGACCTAAGAAAGTGGCTAGAGGGAAATGTCGTATGCTTTATGGCTTCTGACAGATTTCCACTTGAAGCTACCCTTACCTTCCTTCTGCCGAACCTTTGAATTGTTGTCATATATATTTAGATGATAGAACTTACTCATGTAAAAATGTGTAATTTCTTTCTTTTTTAGAGTGAAAAGCTTCTGTTGTATGATACTGTACAAAGTGAACTAGAAGAGAAAATTAGAAGACTTGAAGAAGACAGGCATAGCATTGACATTACCTCAGGTGGATGGAAATTCAAAGTTGTTGGGGATTTTTTGTTTGGTTTATGGGTTTTCTGTGTTTTGTTTTGTTTTGCTTTTCATCTTTAGTAGCTACTGGTTAGTTGACTGTACACACATAGTATGTCTGGTGAGTTTCAGGTTATCCAGTAGAATGCTATTCAGCTGTAGACTTTGCACTGGGGGTTGAATTTAAGCTTAAAACAAACTTTAGCCTAGTAATTGTCAGCATCCCTTGTGTACTTTGGGAGTATTAAACTATGAGTACATAATCATGTAACACCTTCATTCTGTTCAGAAACAAATTCTCACCAGAAAATGTTATTTTTCATTTTGGGGCAATGTTTCCTGCTGTAAAAAGAGCTAGACGTATAAATGTTTCTGATTCATAGCATGTTTTTATTATGTCCTTTCAGAATTGTGGAATGATGAGCTACAGTCTAGGAAGAAAAGGAAGGATCCGTTTAGTCCAGATAAGAAGAAACCTGTTGTTGTATCAGATATCCTTTTACTGAAATCAGTGTTCTTTCTAGCAGTGTTCACTGTTCGATAGCTAGTGTTATTACATATGTCATTAATAACAAGTTGAAGTTATAATGCATTCTCAAAATTTATTTTTGTATGCAGATGTTATTCTAATTCAGATTAGAGAAAGCACTTCCCATTATGAAAATTGAAATTAAGATTTTTTAATCTAATTTCATATAGGGCATATTTCTAAAAATTTATTTTTCTAACTCTTCAGAAAAATAGAGCTACAAGTTAGGCGTTGTGTTTGCAAAGTGTAACTTGACTTGTATAACTTCTGCTATATAGCTTTGCTTCTCATACTAGGACATCTTTACCTCAATTTATTACTTCTTAACAACTCCATAGACTTTAGAACCTCTTTGATTAAAGGTTTAAAATTCCAAGAATTGAGATGGTTTGTGGGAGAGGGGAGTTTTGTGGCTTTGGGGTTCCTGTAGAGGGAATATAGTATTTAAGAATTTTGCACTGATGACTTCTTCATAGCTGTTGACAAGCATGCAATGCAGCTGAAAGTTTAAGGTGTAACAACTAGGAGACGTTATCATGTTTCTCCAGAGGAGAAAGGAGATGCCTTGGCAAACTGAGTGTTCTCTCTACCCCTACCTCCAGTTTAACATTTTATAGGATAGAGATGTGATGGCTTAGAAGTTGCTAGAATCGTGGAGACTACCTAAAAGAGATGAGCTTCTAAGTATTGCCATTATATGGTATAAAGGCCATTTTTAATTGCTTAGCTGCTGCAAAAAAATAGTAGTACTTTTGCAAGGTTTTGTAACATGAAGGGAAGATGAGAAGGAAGAAGTTTTTGAAAAAACTGTCATCGTTGGAACACCACTTCAGGATGGTTGATTTACTGGAACACATCCCAGGTGGATGATTTGTCCTAATAATGACTATTCTTCTGTTAGCATGTGTCATAAATTCAGTTTAGTAGACATGTTTTTAAACTAGTGTTTAAAAGCCAAGTGGTATTAATCAATGCAGATACGAGTGGCTTCATTAGTTTCTTAACTCCTTTTAGCAATTTCAGTGCCAGGTTGTGTGAAAGTGTATTTTCTTTAGCTCTCAGTGATCCTTGTCTTCAGGACATCCATATAGATAGCATCAGATTCAGTGAACTGTGAGCTACCTTGCCATTTTGGAATACACTCCAAACAGAAAATACTAACATAGTATTAGGTCTAAAACCCCATCTGTTTCAGGCAATTCATAAAGCTGAAAATCCTTTCAGTTGCGAAGTACATTAATTTTCTCTTTTCGCTTATGATTTTAAAATAGTTGTGAACTTGTCAGTTTGTACAGAGCTGTGTAAGGCAACTACCTAGAAATTTTACATGGCTTTTGATTTGTAATTTTTTGCTATATAGAGGAAAACAAAGTTGAAAATGGCTAAAGATTCTTAAAATTTCAAAAGGAATGTTAGTTAAAGCTCTGATATCCCATTTTAGAAGACTTAGTTTTCAAACATTCATAGCACCTTTTTCTAAACTTGTTTTTCAGAGATGAAATAGGGAGAAAAGGTAAAGATTAAAGATTCTTGGAATGGAATAGCTGCGCTATATGGAGATTTGTTTTGAAGTTCATGTAGTGTTCTAAAATAGAATGATGTTTGGAACTGATAGGAATGGAGTGGTTGTATCACAATTATATATCTTATCCTCATGTTGAACACCAGTAGTCTGAATATCTGTGTACTATTGCTTAACCTTTTAAAATAAATTTTAACGTATACTTCTAGGTTGCATTATTCAAAGATGCATTTGGTTTTGCTGAGCTTTCACTTCTCGTAGGTTTTCTTTGTGTGAAAGGCTGTCAGAACAGAACTACTAATATCTTTCTGCAAGCATTGGAGTATTTTTATTACTGATGTTTAAAAGAGTTTTCCCTAACTTATTCCACGCCCCTATATAGTTTATATGTTGCAAGACCTTGATATACTTGAAGATTGGACAACGATAAGGAAGGTAAGATGAAAGGATGAATTGCAGTGGCTGTGGGTGTTGTTTGGGTTCTTGTCTAGTCCTTTTGCCTCTTAAAAATGCGTAAATGTGTTTCTTAGGTGACTAAAACGCTGAATAAATTTTTCTCTCTTCAGCAGTCAGCTAATCATTCCAGTTCAAGCTATGTTATGGCTGCTCTTTCTGATGGTACCCAAATCATGCAGAGGAATCCAATACGGTAGTGGTAGAGGTTATCTCTACAATGGGTAGTCCATAATTGTCCATGATAAAGTGAGCCTAAAGCTTGTGTCAGGAGGATCTACTTTCTCATAGTCTAGCATAATTGGATAAAAACTACGATAAAATAGTTTGATTTTGTTTTAAATTAAGATTGTAAAAAATATGTATAACTTATGGTATGTTGTTGCATAGTAAATAGATTATGTTATGAAGATTTCTATGTTTCAACCTCTCCTCACGCCTTTTTTCTTTTTAATAAAGTGAAACACTGTGTTTTTCACATATTATAACAGAATCAGGGTTTACAGGAAGAAAAAATTGTTTGACCAAGTGATACATTCGAAAAAATAAATCCAGTGTTTAAGTGCAGAGTACCTTTTTCAGATCTTTGTCATACCGTTAAAGGAACTTGCCATAATGAAACGCTATCCTTGCCTTGCACCTGCAGTCATAAATTTTCCCCTAGTACCCTAGTGCTTATGCTTAAGTTCCAGCTTATGGAACAGCAAACTACTTGTGTGAATTCAAAAACTGGGTGGGAAATGACTTTGAGTTGTTTCCATCCTGCTTTTAATTATTTCCTAAACAAGAATTAAAATGGGATGCCTATGTGAAAACTTGCCTGACTTTTTTCTTCCTGTCACATCAGAGGAGCAGGCACAAAGCAGCTTTTTCCTCAGTTTCTTTCCTGTAGTGTAATGCGATGTTAAACAGTAGCAGCAAATCCAGAATCTACTGGGGATTTTGCCTTTTCTGGAAGTAATTTTAAAAACCAAAAAGCAAATGAACAATGCAAAAAAAATCTTAATGGTTTGGGTTTTTTTAACCTACTTTAATACTGCATGTGATCTAGAGTTCTCATGAGAAAATCTGTGAGCTTGTGAGTCTAATGTATAAAACAAAAGAATAATTTGTTCATGTAACATTTTGTTTTTCAGAATTGAGTTAATGTCATTTTGTCTTTTCTTGACAGAATTACATAATGGCAATGTTGAGAGCTTAATTTAGAAAACATCCAGAGTTGCTTGAAATCAAAACTTAGTGAAGAAGGTGATTTTTTTCACCCTCAAAACTTTTTGTTTAGTTACTGAGTCACTGTTGAACACAGTTATTTTAGGCTTGTTCTGATTGTGTTTTTTGCATGTAGAAAGAAGTATCCTGAGCTACACTGCACATAACTTCACAACTAAAGTTGGCTGCTAAGAAAAAACTATGCTTGCTGACTAACTTCATTTTTGGTTTTGTTTCAAGGCAATGGCTACACTGGGGCCACACAGGGTAAAGCCAGAACGTAAGTAAACATGGTCTGGTTCCACAAGACAGAACTTGCTGTGTGCAATGATGCAAACTGCATTTAGGGAGACTGTGTTTATTTTAGCCCTGGTATAATGACAGAGGATGGGGTGAGGTAGCTGGAAGATGAGGCTTTTTGTCTTTCCCCTCTCTCAGGTGCTGATACTTGTAGCTTAGTTGCCGAGGACTGTGTTGACACTTGAATTCTAGAAAATTGCCAACAAAAATTTAGACTTCCAAAAGTGAGTTACATGGGTTAATGTTAGCAAGCTGTGCCAGTGTTTGCACAAGATGAGGCAGAAGACTAAGAGCATCTGGACCTTAGTGGTGCATTCTAAAGGATGCTCACATTAACTGCAAGCTACAACCTTGAAAAAGTAGAGCTATAGGAAAGGAATGGTTACTGGTATTTGGCACTGAGGTGAGAAGCACATTCGTACTAGGTAAAATCAAATACTTGGAGGTGGTGAGTAAGGAGGAAAGGGGAGAGAGGAGGCAAGCAGGTGGTGTATTTCTTTAGTAATCCATTACTACTTCCATGTTGTGGTAATGTGCTGATGAAGAGGTTTCAGGCTCTGCCATATGAAGTCTTCTCTATATTACATTATTCATATCACAGATGTGAAAGTTGTGAGGAAGATAGCTTCTATCTGGAAATGGAAATAAAATTTTTAATTTATCTGACTGGAAATAAAATGGTATCTTGCTTCCCATTTTCTAGTGTTCTTGCAATTATTAAAAGAGAGAGGCTACTTTTGATAATGGAAAAAAATGTGAATAACTTGATGAAAGTGTATTTAAATATCTAACTGACTTCTGCCAAGTCAATATTAAATTACTTTTATTGATCATTTTAGCACCTGTCAAATTGGAAAAGCATCTACATAGTGCTAGATCTGAAGAAGGAAGACTCTATTATGATGGAGAGTGGTATGGACGTGGACAGACGATATGCATTGATAAGAAAGATGAATGTCCTACAAGGTAAAGATTACTCAGTTTATGCAGCTCTGTACATTGATATCAAGCAATAGGGTTAGGGATCAAACAGCTGGGATCTACCTGTTCCGTTACTAGAAGTCCAAGAAACTGAGCTATGGCTTTGCTTTTTACATACAATCACTGCTATGTATAGTTAAAACTATCCTTACAATGGAGCCAGTACTTTTTGGGCCTAGCATTTACAACCAACACATATTTTAATTTA